TGTGGGTCTGTAGTAGAGTTTGAAGCCAGGGTCTGTAATGCCTCCAGAAGTTCCTTTATTGCACAGGATTGTTTTGCCTCTCCTGAGTTTTTTGTTTTTCCATATGAAGTTGACTATTGTTCTTTTCAGGTCTGAGAAGAATTTTGCTGAGATTTTGATAGGCATCGTATTGAATCTGTAGATTGCTTTTGGTAAGATTCTTGGGCATTTTCTTAACTAGTGATTCAGAGGAAAGGGCCAGTCCATTGTACGTGCTGTCATCCTTGGGCTGCTTTTCCTAGGTTCTGTGAGAAAGCAGACTGAGCAAGTATGAGGAGCAAGCCAGTAAGAAGCATCCCTCCATGGCTTCTACATCAGCTCCTGACTCCTGGTGCCTGCCCTGTTTGCATTCCTGTCCTGACTTCCTCCAGTGATGAACAGCAAAGTGGAAGTGTAGGACAGATAAACCCTTTCTTCCCCAGTTTGCTTTTAGTCATGGTGCTTTGTCGAAGCAATAGTAACCCTAATTAAGACAGGAATTCCCTTGTCAGCCCACTGTGGTCTTCCCCAAGTTGTTTCTCTTTCCCATCCATGGTTGCATTTTTCCATTCTGTGTCGGGTTAGCTCAAGCTAAGCAACTTGCCCTGAGGCCAAGAGCAATCAGGGCTAGTCTCTGGTCTGCTGGACCATCGCTCAGGCTGGCTCTGGATATAACTTCTGTTACGGTCTCTCCTTCAGCCACAGTCAGCTGCTGAGGACTTGTGCTGGGCAGAAACACTTCCTGGTTGCCTTTGCATTAATCTAATACAGCACTAACTTTGTAAACGTTTATATCACATATAAAGTTCAGATACAGAGCAATATTTACTTCTGAAAATCATAGATGTGTACGACATCATTTAAAAATAGGTTTTTTTTTTTTTAACACAAAACCTTATCCTTTAAGCTAATCCTAGGATGTTACTAAGAGCAGAGCAGTAACTTCAGGATGTCAGAGATGACAAGGGACGGATTTACAGGTCTGGACTGACGTGTACTTTTCATAGTCTCCAACAGATAAAATTTACAAAGCACACAAATTATTACTATTTTGGTTTTTGGTGTATGTTTGTGTGTATGTGTGTATGTAACCTTGGCTGTCTTGGGAGTAACTCTGCAGACCAGGCTGATCTCAGAGATCTGCCTGCTTCTGCCTCCCAAATGCTGGAATTAAAGGTGTGTACCACCATGCCTGTTTCAACAAAAATTATTGTTAAATAACTATTCATACTTATCTATTCTACCTTTTATAATGAGTCAAGAAGCTGAAGGGATGCCTTCTTAACATCCTTATCCTCATGATTCTAAACTATTGATGACATAGTTAATGGAGATTGGAAATGAAAAATTAACTGTTTTCAAAAAAACTTTTTTTCTAAATTTATTTATGAAGGTGTGGATATATCGTGGCACACATATTGGGGCCGGAGGATAACTTTCGGAAATTGGTTTTTTCCTTCCATCACGTGGGTCCTAAGGGTGGAACTCTGGTTCTCAGCCTTCATAGCAAGTGCCTTTACCCGTGAGCCATTTCACTGGCCCAGAAAAGTCAAAATTTAAATGGAATCTAAGCATTCATTACTTATGTTTCTAATTTTGAAAAGTTTAATTGCATTCAATTATTTATTTGTTTTGTTTTTTTGAGATAGGGCTTTTCTGTGTAGCCCTGGCTGTCATGGAACTTGCTCTATAGACCAGGCTGGCCTTAAGCTCATTTGCCTGCCTCTGCCTCCTGAGTGCTGGGATTAAAGGCCTGGGCCACCGCTGCCTGGCCTGAGAAGCTAATTTTATTAAAATAACTAGATGATGTTCTTTTAAGAAATTATTATTTATTTTTACATGTGTGGGTGTTTTACCTGCATGTATGTCTGTGTACCACATGCATGCAGTACCTGTTGGACTCTTGGTCTGGAGTTACAGAGAGTTGTGAGCTGCCAGGAATTAAAGCTGGGTCCTCTACAACAGCAGTCAATACTTTTAACCACCGAGTCCTCCCTCCAGCGAACAAAGACTGCAGGTGACGTCACATTGACCAAGGGTCAAAGCTCAGTTCTTTCACTGTTGCCTGAGAATATAACGTCTTGACTTGACAAGCACAAACTCTGGTTCACTCACAGCTCCATGACATAGGATTTTCCGTCTCTTTCTGGAACCTATAGAAAGGGACCTCCATTCTGCCTCGTGGGCCTGAACTTTCCGAAGAGCTCCCACCACGCTGCTGTCTATCCATGGAGTTAATACCTTGCCTGATAAATTTCTTATCCTCAAACAACTGCCTCATTCTTTCTCATTAAATCCTAATTTCTGCGCCCCTATTGCTCCCCGCCCCCAAGTTACTTTATACCCGTGTAAATGGTATAATTAACAGTGCATTCTCTCTGTCTCTTTGATTTTTGAAGTAGGGTCTCTGTGAAAGCTTGGCCGTCCTGGAATTTAACTGTCTAGATTGTTATGCCCAGATCCGGAGTCCCCCCAAAACCAAGTAGGAGACTGAGTCCTGTATGTTAAAGCAAAGAGCCTTTATTCTTACACAAGTTTGCAAACTCAGACTCTCCATGTGTTCAGTGTATTGGCACGATGTTTTGTCATGTCAATAGAAACCCGAAGATAGTAGGGAATGATAAAAAAGAAAGACAGAAATGACGCAGAATGTTTAGAGATAGGGGCCTTGATCATATCCTTGGCCAAAAGCCAAAAATGTCCTTTGCTCTGTCTTGGCTGAAGTCCAGAAATGCCAAAAATATTTGGAGTCCTTTATTCCTTGTCTGGTTCCTTAAGGTTTCGATTTTTGAAATTAAAAAACCGGGATTAACAGCTTCGGGGGCCAGTGAGAAAGGATCTCATTTCCTGTAAACCCGATAACAGCAGAAAGGCAACTTTGCTATTCACTCCTTAGGATTTAAACTACCATATAAAAAAGTGGAGGTGGGACTGGAAAGATGGCTCAGTGGTTAAGAGCACTGGCTGCTCTTCCAGAGGTTCTGAGTTTAATTCCCAGAAACCACGCGGTGGCTCACATCTGAAATGAGATCTGGTGCCCTCTTCTGATCTGGCCTGCGGACATACATGCAGACAGAACACTGTATACATAATAAATAAATTAATCTTTAAAAAAAAGTGGCAGTACTAGGCTTTGTCGAGGCCCATGGAGGCAGAGCTACTTCCTGCTGCTTACAAGAATGAGTTACCTCTGGGGTACATGGAGCTTGGGGTAACTGGAATCTGTGTTCCTGGGTCTTAGTCACTCAAATTTGCAAGTCCCTGGATAGCTGTGGCTATAACACAGTGTTGGCTGACTGGAATTTCAGCGACAGTGGAGAAGTTGGAACTGAGTTAATACAAGACTCAGAAGAGAAAACCCACACCATTTATTACCTTTCCACGCATGTGAACATTCCCACAAGAAAGTGAAGTGTGAAGAAATGACTAAAGCATGATGCTTCTACACCTTTCTGTACAAAATACACTAGCCTGTGAAGTCTGCTGGGGCACAGATCTCTGGACTCGGGGCAGTAAACTCTAGAGATGTCACTGGAAGATATCCGAGAGACCATATATGGTGTCGGAAGAGAAATTAGTTATTCAGGCTCAGCACAGCCCAGGTGCTGGTGTTTTGTGGGAAAACTATTTCCACATGGAACCTTTATGGGTTTCTGCTTGTTAAAAAAGACAGGTCAAATGGCCCTTTCTGTGGCTGTCAGGGAGGTCCAACCTTTGGATACTGTGATATGTTACCATCTGCAGTTTTTGTGGAGAACCACACAATGGAGTTAGAAGAAAAAATTACGCCCAAGAAAATCTCATGTTTTAAGTAAGTTTATGGCTTTGTGTTGGGCTGCTTTCTATAGCTGTCCTGAAGTACGTGTACTTGGGTAGACACCCGTGAATAGTTGCTCCAGGGGTTCCAAATGATCACTATACCATTTTGGTGCATTTGAGATGGTCCATGCTTACCTACTTTTGTAGGATGTAGATGCCAACATTTTAGCTGGACCCCCCCCTTTTTTTTTTTTTAAAGATTTGGAGGTGGGACCTTGAAGAAAATGAATTTTGGCTGCTGGCTACTGAGGAAAGCCTATTCCTGGCCAGTAGCAGCTGAGGAGCAGGCAGTGAGGTGGGGCTTGCTGGGCAGTGCAGGAAGCCAGGCTGACTGCCACAGTGGAAGGTCAGGGTAGAGAGGGAGCTGGGCACATAGAACCTTCCAGATTGCTTGAAACCTCCCCTGAAAGTCAGCAGAGGGCTCTGAAGGGTGGCAAGATCTGCTTAAAACTGTAGCAGGGCTGACTTCGCTGCTTTATTGAGGAGGCGCGGGGGCAAAGACAGTGACAGGGATGAGGTCTGTGCACTAATTCAGGGAAAGGCAACACATCGTCTGGTACCAGGGAGGGGGATCAATGATGAAGAGTTCCAGTTCCGGACTCGGATCAGGTGAGCATCATCAGAGTGTGCGCAGAAGAGGATACAGGCCCTGCAGTGGAACTAGTCCCGAGAGTGTTCTGTTGGAAGAGGGAATTAAGTTGTTAGCCTTGCTTACAGGGATTTCTGGACAGGCAGGCAAGATTGACCTTTTGTGTTTGTAGTAGTCTGAATGTAATTGGACCCCATAATCTCATTGGAGTGGCACCATTAGGAGGTGTGGCTTTCTTGGAGTGGATATGGCCTTGTTGGAAGAAGTGTGTCACTGTGGGGGTGGGCTTTGAGGTTTTCTATGCTCAGATACTGCCCAGTGTCTCAGTTGACTTCTTGTTGCCTGTAAGATGTAGGACTTTCAGCTACTATTCCAGCACCACATTTGCTGGCATGCTGCCATGCTCGCTGTCATGATGGTAATGTCCTGAGCCTCTGATCTCTGAGACTGTAAGTGAGCCACCCCAATTAAATGCTTTCTTTGTAAGAGTTGCCATGATCATGGTGTCTCTTCACAGCAATAGACGGCCTAACTAGACAGAGTCAGTTAGGAAATGTGAGTAACAGACTCACAGTGGCTTTAAGAAACAGGAGTTTATTTTTATTTACAAGGTGTTTGGAGATGGAGAACTGTTGGCACTTGCTTGGTCAAATGATCACAGGGCATATGGATCTCTTGGCCTTTTCCTCAGGTTCAACATGACTGCTAATGTTCCGGGCATCACATCTCCAATCAAGTAGGAAGAAGGAAGAGGCAGAGGGAGTCTCTCAGCAAAGCATGGGGTTTTCTAGTCCATCCTGTAGACTTGCACTTCAATTACATTGGCCATACCTGGTCACATGGTCACCCAAACCAGCAGAGTAGGCTGAGAGAGTGAGAATCTATATTTATACTCACTAGGGGGAGGTGATGAGAAAGATGGATTAGGTCTAACAGAGTCACAGAGCATCAAAGTGTCTGCCAGGGTTCTTCTGGATGACCTGCCTTGTGGGCCCTTATTCTTTTGGGTGTCATCTCTGTGACTTGCCATGTCCTCCAGGGACCACTAGGACCCTTGGGTGGTCCTACTCTATCCCTGGTGCCCTGTCTTGCTTCTCTTTATATGTCAGAACAATGCACATACCTGTAGAGCAACAACCCTCAGCACTGTCTTTATTTAAGAAACACACATCAGCATAACATCTCACCAGCAGATACCCAAGACAGATACACTTCATTTAGACCTTTACAGCTGGAACACACACACACACACACACACACATACACACACACACATGCACGCACACATGCATGCGAGAGAGAGCTGGAAAAATACACAAGAGAGAGCATGAAGGCAAGAGATAGAATCTCCATTTGCTGCCACACCCACACTCTGCTACCCTCCCACCGTTGTTTTCTGGAGCCTGAGCACCCAGCACACCCACAGGGAAATCTGCGCTTCTCTGGCAGTGCTGTTCCCACCAGCGAAGGGCTTCAAAACAGAGGCATGGGCTTCATTCTTCAGGGGAAAGGATTCAGGCCTTCCTGTAGGTATTCAAGACAGTGTAGGAGCAAAAGATTCACACAAGAAGCACAAGCAGGGGCTTTGGAGGAAGAAGAGATGAGGATGATCAGATTGGGGGTATTGAGGGGAGAGTCTCAGTTGACAGTGGCTGACATTGTCTCTAAGAAGCCATTTTGTCACCATGGCCGTGGGATCTTCAAACTACCATCTATATTTCCAGAGTTGAAAAGCTAAGATCTTTTTTTCTTTTTGGCTAGAATTGCAATGTGGTTACACCAGTAAATAGTGAAGATCGGCGGTTACAATCACAAAACCATTTGTATTTGCTAGGCTAGAGTTTCCCAGGCCAAGGGTCCCTGTGTGTGTATTGGGGGAGAGGGGAACGTCTATGGATAGTGAATGAATACAGACTTTAGAGCCGGCACTGGGACCCTCCAGGCCAGGGAACCGAGGGAATTGGATGCTTCAGTCTAGCTATCTACTCAAGCCAGTATCCTGGGCTTTCCCCGGGAGTGTGTTAGACACGCACTTTCCAGGGACTGTTTCCAGGGCTCTCCAGTTTGTATAACATGTACATGTATGTACATACATGTGTTTATGGGATGTACAGTGAAGTTGGCAATGTGCTGTTCTATGCTGGAAGCCGGAGCACTGAGGTGAGATGCGGTTAGCAATTCAGGGAGGACAGGTGCGGAGGGAAAAAGCGGCAGCGTGCGGCAAGCCAGCAGGGCCCGAAGCTGCCTTGGTTAGGACTTGTCCCTCTTGGTCACAGCCTGCTGTGACCTCCCATGCCCACTTCCTTGCCACAGAAAGGCCCCTTCTTTGCTCTGTGATTTCCAAGGCATCCTTGGCCTCGGGTCAAGCCAGAACTGAGATGTTCCCGCCACTAGGAGCTGGGCTTGTCGGGAAGCCGAGGCAGAGTGGAAGGACATTTGGCCTTCCTTCTCACTTCTGCTGGGGAAGCCCACTTGGTGAGTGGGACTGGGGAGGGCACCTCGGGAAGGTCTTTCCTGCAGTGGCTTCGTCTTAGCACAGGAAGGATAGGTGCTCAGAAGGAGAAGTCCCTACAGAGACTTCCCTATGGGGTGCGGGGATCCCCAGTTTCCCAGGGATCGCCAGCCTCTCAGGTCTGCCTTCCTGGTATCACGGTATGCCAGGGCCTTCTGGTTCAGGAGGGTGAGAGTGAGAGGCAGGAACTGAATAGAGGCAACTCTACAGGGCTCTCTCCTCCGTGGCGATTCTGCGCAGGTTTTCCCGGACTTTGATGAACTCAGGGGCGTGGTCCTCTTCTCTCTGTGGTGGGTTTTCCAGCTGGAAGAGAGAGACACACGAGTGCTTTTGGAAGGGCTGGGGGAAGGGCTCCTCTTCTCAAAAGCCATGGTGTTGAACCAAAGGTCCTGTCCATGGGGAAGCAGAAGCACCCTGAGGTGGGTTTTACAAACCGTCCCAAAGTAGTGGCGGCTGTGGTGGTGGTGATGATGGGTATCAGGAAAATAGATGCTTGAGAGAGAGTCTTCATAATTAACACGAAAAAAAAAAAACCTACCCTCATTTCAGGAAACACTATCAAAACAGTATGCATGAGGTAATCCCACCATTTCTGGATATGGGTTGATGAGTAAATGACCTCTCAAGGGTCAGGCTGCTTGTGGCCTGGGGTTTTGAGCCTGGACATGTTCTAGCTCTCTATCCCAGCTCCATTTGTAAGTACTTTCCTCTTAATAAACTTTATCTCCACCACCATCCATGCCCTGGGCCAATTCTTCCAGGACACAAGAACCTGGGAATCTCAGTGAGTACCCTCTGTACCAACATGGGGGCAGTGTAAGAGACCGGGTGGTCCTTGGGAAGCCTGGTTCAATTGTTTATCCTTCTGGCATCGAACTCCCAACCTCGAAAATGCAAATGGCGTCTGCTCTAAGGCAGATGATCATCAGACCTAATGGTCCTTATAGGAAAAACAGGCCCAGAGAAGTGAAGCCACCGTACTAGAGTCACACAGCAGGCCAGAGGTAGATTCCTGGCATCATGTCGACCTTCCCTGGGGGCTTGGAGGAGCCAGGACTGGAGTGATGGCCGCCTACCCACCTGGTTCAATCTCTGCTGCCTTCTCAGCAGCTCCTGCCTGAAGGGGCACTGAAGCAGCTTGGCCTCCAGCTCCTCCTCTTTCTTCTTGATCAACTGATTCCAGCGACGGTGCTCCAGGACCCGCTGCAGTTCGGGTTTGCTGTCCACACCCAGGCCCCTGGAGGAGGGGAGCTATCAGGAGATTCCCTTCCCAACCTTCCCAGTCTGGGACGGCAGTTTTCGGTGACACCAGCGCACCATTATCTCCTATGATGTTTGGGCAACACCGGTGGCGGGGAGGGGGAATGGGGGAGAGAGAGGGGGGTACCCTTGCTGTCCCATGCCATAGGGAAAGGCAAAGAGCCACTGTGTCCAGTTGCAAGGCAGGCTTGAACTATAGCAGGAGAATTTCAGCCCAGGGAGCAGAGACCAGGTGCCCTGTGGTTGCTGTGTATTTTATGAGAGCTTCTGGAGATGCTGGGCTGAGCGCTCTCAAAATCTCCTGCGAGTTAATTTCCTTACAAGGATATCTATTTATCTCCATTCTCCAAGCCAATTTTTTTTTTAAAGTCTAGGAGACAAGAAGCAACGTCTGGTTTTCATGTTTCCTTGATTATCAGTCACATGCAATGACCTTTAAAATGTTTCCAGCGTTTACATTTCTCCTTTTGCAAATTATTTCTTCTTATTTGGTTTTTCCTTGTAGACATTCCTTGTACATGAATATGTTAATATTTTATACTGTATATGTAATTTCCAATTTAATTTATTATATAGCACATATTTCGGTTTGCTTGAAGCTGTTTTTCATTGTGGTGGTATTTTTGATACTATAGTGAATGAACCACCACACAAAGCAACCGAGAACATGACAATGTTGCAGTATCAAGGGAAAACAAACCCACAAACAGTCCAGAGTGTAAGGGGCACTCTGCTGTATCTTGGTTGTATCGCAGAATGGAAATCACAACCAGCTCCAACACAACTGGCCAGCAGAGGGCGCCACGAAGGCGGTCCCTCCACCTTCAGCCTGGGCCAGGCGACTGCAGATGTGCCAGACTTCCCCTTGGCTCTCCTGTTACATTGCCTGCCTCTCGCCCAATATGGGAACATGGCTGTGAAGGAGCCATCACTGCCTGATACCCCAACAGCATCTGTGTGCGCTCTAGTTTTCTCTGCTGACACAACCCACCTCCCACCAGGGCCGCCTCCCCTCCCTGCTGTAGGCCTTCCAGGTTTCATCTCTTTCCTGAAGTCATTTAGACAGCCCCAAGTGTCTAAAGTACCTCCTCTGGGGTCCCACACTCTTTTTAAAGCCTCCATCAAGCCACACACTCTCTGCCTGATATTCTTTCATTCGCCTCTGGGAGGAAAGGAACTGGGCCTCTATTTTTGTATTCTAGGTCTGGGAATGGTGCCCTGCATACAGTAGGTGTTTAATAAGTTTACGTGGCTTCCGTGGCATCCAAGCATGCATTAAGTGCCTGGGAGAGAGGATGGGGCTTTGGGGTTCTCACGGTTTCTTCTGGACCCCGTGGGGCTCCAGACAATGACCAGGTCAACCTCTTTAGGTCATATTTCTCTAAGCACAGCAGGCCTGTGCAGGATATCGCTGGGCCAGGCAGCTGGGTGCCATCCTACCTTCTGTGATTCATGAGCAGCTCCCGGTGTAGCTCCTGGTGGCTTCGGGAGGCCTTCACAGGGTTCAGCAGCTTCTTGGGTTTGATGAGCTCTGGATTCCACTCTCTATACTCTGGCCGAGCCATGAGTCCCCCAATGTCTGCCCTCTCCCTCTGGATCTCCGAGTACATTGAAGCTGTCATGATGGGCAGTGAAGTTACTTCAAGGATGCCCGCAGCCCCACCCACTCCTTGGGGCGCAGCTTAGTGGGGAAACCTGGGTAAGCTATCTGACCATCTGGATATTGCTTTCTGCCCCTCTGTTGTGGGTAATCAGCCATTACACCTAGGTTAAAAGGTTGTTGTGACTATTGAAGATGATGTTTGTAAAGCATTTGGGGCACAGAAGTAAAATGACACCAAGGCTTAAGCTATGGCTTGTTATGGGACTGGAGAGATGGTTCTTTTCGGAAAGCGTTTGCCACGCAAGCGCAAGAACCTCAGTTAGATTCCCCAGTACTCACAGAAAAAGCTTGGCGTGATGCTGTGTGCTTGGGATGTCAGTCCTGTGAGGCAGAGACAGGTGGATCCCTGGAACACACTGGCCAGCCTAGCCAGCCTAATCAGTGAGATTACTCCTAATCCATGTCCCAGTGAGAGACCCTGTTTCAAGATGCAAGGCAGACAGTGCCTGAAGAATAGCATCTGCAGATGACCTCTGGCCTCTACACATATATGCACACATGCACATCTGCATATACAAAGTGCATACATATGGGTTGCCGCTGGCTGTGCTGGATAGTTTTATGCTAACCTGACACAAGCTAGAGTCATCTGAGAGGGGGGAACCGCAATTGAGAAAATGTCTCCATAAGACTGAGTTGTAGGCAAGTCTGTAGGGCATTTTCTTAGTTGATGATTTGTGTGGGAGGTCCTAGTCCATGGCAGATGGTGCCATGCTGGCTGTAAGAAAGTGGTCCTGGGTGCTATAAGAAAGCAGACTGAGCCATGGGGAACAAGCTAGTAAGCAGCACTCCTCCATGGCCTCTGCATCAGCTCCTATCTCCAGGTTCCTACCCTGTTTGATTTCCTGTCTTGACTTCCTTTGTTGATAAGCAGCGATGTGGAAGTGTCAGGTGAATAAACCCTTTCCTCCCCAAGTTGTTTTAGGTTATGGTATTTCGTCACAGAAATAGTAACCCTGTCAGTGAATAGGACACTGGCAGAAGAAAAAAAAAAATTACCCAAACCAAAACCAAAGGGATTATGTTTGTGTTTCTGCTTTCAATAAGCTTGTACTAGAAAAAGAAAAGGGGTGTGTGTGTGTGTGTGTGTGTGTGTGTAATCTGTAGTTGTTAAAGACAATTTAGATATGGTTAAAAACAAAACATCCCCCCCTATTGTCCCGTTCCCTAGCCATAGTTCCCAAATTGCTAGGAGGGCTGAGACTTTCTGCCTTTGCCACAGCAGAGAGTAGTATGTGAAATGCAGGGGCTGCCATATCCCTGTTACAAAGGGATGGCTGTCATCTTGTCTGCCCAGCTCATGTGTGACTGCTCCTGGTCCCTCTTCTGCCAGAGTACTGGAACTTTGTCAGTGTACTTCAGATTCAGGCAGAAAGGCTTCCTTGCCACAGTCAGGTCCCTGTTCTTGAAATGCTTTAGAGAGAGGAGGAGAGGAGAGGAGGCGAAGGGAGGGGAGGGGAAGGGAGAGCAGAGCAAAGTTGTTTAACACACTAGTCACAGGAATAGCTGCTGCCTGGCTGTTCGCGGTTCGGAGTAATTACAGTGAATATTAGGTGAAAGGTTTGAGTCCCTCAGCCCAGCTTCCAGAAAAGCACCCTCACCCCTTCTCTGAGACAGGTCTTTCTGCGACACCCTGCTGGTGCTGACCTTGCAGCCCTCCCGCCTCCACCCCTGTAGCACTAGCAGCACCAGCCAACAGGCTTCAGCTGGTGGGGCTGAGCATGCTCTGTGTGGTGGGCATAGCAAGTGTCTGGTCTAATACGCAGTAGGCACTAATGTTCGTTGGTAACTGGTGCTAAAACTTTTAAGGTTTTGGTCTTGGGGATCCTTAGCCCTAAGTTGGTTTCCATATGGCAATGGAGATAGCATGCCCTATCTCACACCCTGAGACTCCACCTTCTCGGTCTCCTCTTTTCTGTCCCAGGCTCTCTCGTCTCTGGCTCTCAGCTTAGATTAGTCTTGAACTTGTTATATAGTTGAAGATGACCTTGAATTTGAGGTTGTCCTGCTTCCACCTTCAACCCCAGCAAAGGAGAAGCATTAATTGCCCGAAGGTGTTCTGATGGTAGCCAGGTCAAGTGTCAGAGTGTAGAAATATCCGCTTTTTTAAATTGAAAATATGTTTTCATACAATATATTCTGATCACAGTTTTCCCTTCCCACATCTTCTTCCCACCTCCCAATTCACCCAGCTCCAGGCCTTCTTTCTCTAGCTCTTTGTTGGGGGCACAGAGGTCCTAGTACTCATAGAGAAACACTAAGAGAATTAGGAATGTTAATCACACAGGGGTGTCTCCTCATGGAAGAGATGCAAATTGAATATCTGCTTTGCATCCAGAGAGCTGAGAGTGGATTTATTAACAACCCGGAGACCCTTTTGCTATCTGTGGAGGCAGATCTCACCCTAATTCCCCAGAATGAATATTCCAGACTCTTCCCCTTAGATCATTTCCCATCCTTAGAAAGGTTGTCACAAGGACTTTATGGTTGCTGACTTCTGTGCTGTGGGTCAGAGACCACACTAGATACAAGGTCTTTCAGCTGTAGAACCCATCCTCAAGACCACATGTACTCTGTAAAAGAGTCTCACTGTGGTCACACCTTAAGATTTATTTGTGTACCTGGAATTGGGCTGATTGTTGCCTGGAAACCTTTCCCAAGTTGTACTGTGTTTTAAATATGCTGACAGTGAACCACCTGGCATTAGACACCTCAGAGTCTGATCCAGGTTAAGTCAGTCTGCAAACGGTTTTCGTTCTCATCTCCTTGCATGGTTTGCTTCCTGCCTGACATCCGCAGGGGCCCCTTATCTCTTTGAAAAACTAATGGGTAAATGAAAGGAAATCTGGATTAAAAATAAAGAAAAAACACAAGAAATACAGACACTCACAGATATGCACACACACACATATATACGTGCGCGAGTACGTGTGCACACACGGAGAAAAACAAAACTCATAAAAACACAGAATCAGAAGCCACTCTATATAAGTAAAAGATCAGTAAGATGTAGTGTTCAAGCAAAGCAATTGATAAGAGACACAAAGTCTACAGCAATACTACTGAGTTCACTTTCTGATGGCATTCCACCGCTGGGGGTGGCGCCTCTGTTAAGTGTGGCTCATAAACCCATTGAGACTCCATATTTTATACTAATTTTTCTTTTGCAAGCAGTTATTAATTGGAGATAGCTTTTTGATTAAGGATGAGAGCTTGTGTCCACTCCCCTCTCAGCACTGGGCCCCCATCTGGCTTGGACCTGTTCAGGCCCTGTGCCATGCGCTTTTGATTGAATTAGCAGTCTCAGAAGCAATTTTTTGTTCTTTGATTTTTGAGGCAAGGTTTCTCTGTGTAGCCCTGGCTGTCCTGGAACTTGGTCTGTAGATCAGACTGGCCTTGAACTCACAGAGATCCCCCCCNCTACAGGGTCTCACTGTGCGGCCCTGGCTGCCTCAGAGCTTACTTTTGAGATCCACTTGTCTCTGGTCATGCTCGTCTCTGCCTCCTGAGTGCTGGGATTAATGGCATGCACCACCACACCCAGCTCAGAAGTACTTCTAAAATGAGAATCATTATTTTCTTTCCCTGTATCTTTCTTATAAGTCAATTTGTTTTCAGCTTATATTCTAATTTTTTGGTTCTTAAAATGGTCACGAAGCACCTTAGTTATTTATTTGCTTTTGAGATAGGACCTCATGTAGCCCGGGCTGGCCTTAAAATTGTGCTATAGCCAAGAATGTCCTTGGACTTGTTATTTGCTAGTACAAGCCTGTGCCATCATGCCTGGTTTTAAGCAGGCTAGGAATCAAACCATGCATGCTAGACAAGTATTCTACCGTCCGAGTTACATCTGGGCACCTTTAGTCACTTTAAGCGGGAACATTAGAAAATTACCACCCTGCCCACCAAGGGGGATTAGTTGTTTTAGTTGATGGGATCGTATTTCTGGCAGCCAATGTATCAGAATGCTTTGATTCAAATTGGAGTTTTAAGATCCCTGTTTGCTATCTACTCCATTGCTGAGTTCTCGAATCTTTAGTTCTCTGTAGTTCTCGCTATGTCCCCAGCTCCCATCCTGTCTAGGCTGCCATCACACCACACTTCAATGTCTCCCCTGACTCCCTAGTTTCTCTCCCCTCACCCTCTTCGGGCCCCAATCTTCCCAGTGCAGAATGCTTCTCATCGGCTACGTCACCTTCCAAAGAACTAGCTGTATATTGCCGACATGGTAAGACAGCAAGCAGAAATAAGTTGCATAACTCTTGGAAATTTATGTACAATAATACTTATAATTATTTAATAATAATATTTTATAAAGACATAGCTGGGCAGTGGTGGTATGCGCTTTTAATCCCAGGACTCAGGAGGTGGAGGCAGGTAAATTGCTGTGAGTTCAAGGCCAGCTTGGTCTACAAATTGAGTCCCAGAACAACCAGAGCTGTTACACAGAGAAGCCCTGTCTAAAAAAACAAACAAACAAACAAAAAACCAAACCAAAACAAAAAGAGGACATTCCTATACCCCCAGTAAAACAATAGGAGAGAAATTAAGTTTTATGGCAGGACACAAAATAAATTACACAGAATTAAAGAATTAAGAGTCTTTCACAATAGGAATGGACATTGAGAATATATGAAATAATGTTTGCCATACACTCATCCGATGCTTGCATTCCTCTCATTTGCCAGGTATTATGGCAGCATTAGGTACCCAGCAGGGAGCTAAGCAAGTGGGGGAGCCCTGCTCTAACGATTACAAATGGGACCAAGTTCATCCAGGTGCTGGGGAGGGCCCCTGTGAGGAGGTGGGGCTCCAGTGAGCATTGAGAGCAAAGGGGAAACTGCTCCAGGCCTGGGGAGCAGCTGTCTGGCTCCCGCACCTTGAACAAGCCTGGTCTGTTCTGGGAACACAAAGGCACAGTGTGCCCAGAGAGGCGCCATCCGGTGGTGGAGTGTTCGCAGTGAGGGTGGACAGCTGGCTTCAGGTCCGGGAGAGGGTGAGTCAGATTGGATTTCTAAAAGGTCATGCTGGCTGCCGTGTAGGGGAAATGGCCAACAGGCCTTAGGAATTTTTATTTCCTTTCCTTTCAGTGGGCTGCTTCTGTTTGCTCCTTCCATCCCCATTACATTCCAGAGAAATTTTGGCTTGGCCTGGCTCTCCATCTTCGCCCCCAGGCCACCCCCTCAGTCTTGGTTTCCAGGGTCCCTCTGGGAAGACAAGCCTTGTCTGGCTTACCCTTCTGTGGTCACTGTCTTGAAATACCTCATACACATGGAAGAGTAGAGCCCTTCATTTTGTACTGGGCCCTGCAGATGGGATCACCTCATACACCAGGTCTATCAGTGGTTACTCCTGGCTTAAGGGTCTCTCTAGGAGTCTACTCTTTTTAAATCTATGGTCTATGACGAGGCAGGGATCTCTAAAATAACAGTTGCAGCTGGGAAAGCTACCTTTACCTCTCTAAAGGCTGAACTTCAGTAGGTGTGTGTGTGTGTGTGTGTGTGTGTGTGTGTGTGTGTGTACAGAATGAAGAAGGAAAGGCTCATGGGAACCCTCAGGGTTTAAGAACTGCAATATGAGTCTTCTAGCCTTTTAATTTGATAGACGAGGCTTCTGAGTGGAAAACCCTGTGTAGGTCCTCTCGTGGAAGATGCTGTTCACTGGAGGCCTTGGACCCTTGTGGTCACAACCTGCCTCACTAGGGTGGCAGCCCTGGTTGCTGATAGGAGCCCTCTATTCTGGGTATTTGATGGGGCACTGTCTAACTCCAAAGCAGAAGAAGATTTGAATTATCCTGGAGGTCATGTTGGGCACCTTGGGTAGAAATCTGGGGTCACTCCCAAAGCTGCTGCGGTTCTGAGCAATCTAACACCATTCCAGATGTGGCCATGATGAGGCCAAGAACTGGGCTTTAGACAGGCTAGCTCTGAAAGAAAATGAGCTGGCAGGGGAGAGGAAGGGCTGGTGAAGGAGGAGATAAGTGGCCAATACCCTTAAAGGAGACTTGGAAGTATCTGCCGTTCACACATTGAGTTGAATTTCAGCTCTGTTCCCAAATCAATGAAGATGTCTGAACAAGAAGCTGCGGATGCTCATGAGGCTCTTGGCAAACGGCTAGCTCGGAGTCCAAAGGTTCTGTGCTGGTTCCCAGGGCTGTCACAGATGGCAAAGCAGCCTGTGAGTTGCACTCTCAGGTAGATTAAACCAGGAATAGTGATGTATAATTGCAGTGTGGCCATCTTATTAGCTGAGATCACTGTTAAATATATCCCGATCCTAGTCTTGGAATGAGTTCTCTTATTTTTTTTTTAAAAAAAGAGGGGAAAATCATTAAGCCATTAAATCTTAACCTTGGCTAAATATTGGGGTCCTCAGGGGAGCACTGGAGGCACACCCCAATTCCAGTTCAGTAGCTTAGGGGTACATCTTAGTGTTTGAGAGGCTTGAAAACTCCTGGGTGACTCAATAGTCAGATGCCTTTGCAAAACCAGAGGAAGGAAGGAGGGAGGGAGGGAGGCATTCAGGCCTCATTGCTCCAGCCAAGTGACTCTAGCTGGCCATAGTTGGCCAGTCACTGCATGCAGGTCTGGTTGAGAGTACACGTAGGCTTTTAACCCAGGCATCCTCCTCTGGAGAATCCTGGTGTTGGAAGACTGAGGAGCATCTGCTGGGCAGGAAGCTCTGCAGCCAGAAGTGTCAGCTAAATGAGTGTCCTGCATGTCTCTAAGAGGGCAGTTGGTGAGGCTGACCTCTTCCAGGGGGCATCCGGGGAGATAAGAGTGAAGAAGAGAGACTGAGACCTCTGGTTCTCCCCAAGAGGTCCTAGAGCTGCTCCCTAGAGACTGAGCCAGGTTCTGGACGTACACAGCTGGGTTGGAACAGTAGCCTTGATAACAAACCCTGGTCCCTTCCTGGACAGTGAAGACAGAGACAGAAGAGAATGATAATCTTACTTCAGGTCAAGTTCATAGTGAAAACAGCTGTGGGACCAAGGCTGATACCCAAGGACCTCCTACCCCTCCTCGAGGCAGGGTTCATATATGTCATATATGCTTCAGACATGCTATATAGCCAAGGATGACCGGGAATTCCTGATTGTCCTGCTGCTGCCTCTCAAGTGCTAAGATTATAGTGTAGCCACCATGCCCCATGAATGAGGCGCCAGTGATCAGTCTCAGGGCTTTGTGCATGCTAGGGAGGTTCTTGACCAAGTGAGCTACATTCTTAGCTTTGCCTACGGTCTTAATGTCCCTTCTGTCTGCTTTCCGACTATCTTCAATGTTCTTATCGTATTTCTGTTACAACAAGTGACACTGGGTCTAGTCAAATGTCCAGCAGTTAAAGCAAAGGCAGTAGATGGTAACATGCAGGCCTAGCTAGTCAGGCAAATAAGCAATGCTCTCTGACCTCTGACCAGTGGAAGTCATGGCACCCATGCTAAGGTCGTTGGAGTGTGAAAGGATACGGTGTACCCAATGCACTCTGCACAGTACTTGAATTAGCAGGGCCCACCCAAGGCAAACTGTAAGCCTCCTGTCCTGCACATTTTGGGGTGAGCATGGGACTTGGTCTGAATCTTCCTCATTTTATAGTTGAGGAAGTCAAAGCCCTTTATGCCAAGATACATGTTGGGTAGTTAGCAAAGCCAGGATCTTTGGACTCCAAACCTAATATTCTTTCTACCATGACACTATCTCCCACAAATGGCATATTTTTGATTCAGTAGAGCAGATTTACTTTACTTTTTTACATTTGCTCTCTCTGTGTGCTCAAGAAACCTATGGGAGAAGCAGCTGAGCCCCTTTGACAGCTGAGAACACGGAAGCCAGAGAAACAGTCTGTGAGAAATGCTCGCGCTACCTTGCCACTTGAAACCACAGGCCTGGCAGCCTTCACCCCCGTCCCCCAAACCTTCCTGGTCCAGCATCAATAGCCTCAGAAGGGAGGCTTTGAGAAAAGCTGGCAAGGGAAGGAGGAACATTCAGAAAAGTGACAAGCTGGCTACCACATGTCCTGCCTGCCCTTTCCTCCCTGCGGGTGGCTTGCATTTGCGGCTCACTGGCCCGTAGCCTAAGAACATATCTGGCAACACCTCCCGGTCTCCCTGCAGCCTCAGGCCAACCTTGAAGCTGCCTGTCCATCTGAACAAGAGGACTCCAGACTGGCTTCCTCAACTCTCTGTCTTGGTTCACTGGAACTTTCTAGGCAGTGAGAAGAGGAGTTGGGTTGGAAGGGTGAGCCATACAGGGTCCTTTGCAAGGTTAGGAATTGTACCATGCTGTTGGGCAGGAACCAGCATGAACAGATCTCCCATCCTGTACCCATGTGGTTTGGTGCCAGCCCATTTTATCTGAGACTGGCTCAGGGAAATCAATGCAGGGATTACCATCCTTCAGGCTAGGAAAGCCACCAGAAACCTACGCATGGGGACAGCCTCAAACTTAGAAACCACCCTGCTTAGAGCAGCCTATAGTGATGTGCAATTCCCTAGGGCCTGATTTCTCTAGTCTCAGACTGGCCTTGTACCAGGGGATGCTGAAGCCAAGTTCATCAGCAAGGTGGACACTACCGCTAGCCCTGGACCCACTGAACTGCCGATAAACTGAGAAGGTGGGCAACCCCTTCTTAGGAGCAAGTCACCCAACCTCAAAGATGCCATCTGATTTCCCCAGATCACATTGCCAGGGGTCAAAAGGAACAAGAATCTGAGCTGAACTCTGGTGCCCAAACCCAGGTTCTGTGTTCTCATTGCATATAAAACCCGAGCTTTTGTCTATCTGTGGGTTATTTAGTGACCCCCTCTTCAATAACCCCACACACCCCTATTGTGTAAAAATGGATCTAGGAGAGGCTGTAGCGGACATTAAATTACTCCCAGTATTTAGAAGCAAAAGATCCACCAGGCTCCAGAACTGTAATTGAGAGCCCACTCAATCCCTGTCCCCCACCCCCACTTCCTAACCCCTTATCATTCACCCAGTGAGGCAGAGTCTTTAGGTACCTAAATTCGAAGGGTTCAGTTACCAGGACAGCTTGCTCTGGTGCTCCCAGGTCGCTCTCCGTCCCTCCACCTTCTCCCAGAACACAGCCTGACAGCTTGGGACAGAACAGACGGGTGTCTCAGCAGTGCCTGAGCTGTGAGCTCCTCTGCAGCTCACAGACTTAGGGAACCCTAAGAAGGTCCCAGGGCTGAGGCAGCCACCCCCAAAGGGCGGGCCTTAAACTCCCGAGATGGGAGGCAGTCTTACATTCCTGTTTATTCTGATATCAATAAAAAGGAACTGTTGCTATAGAAACTGTTATTTCACTTGGTGAGTGGCCATGTCCTCGGCTCAGAACACCATGTCCAAGCCACCCTGATTGAGAGGCACAAATAAATACCTGTTTTGTCATATTGGTGAGGAATATGAATCATGCCAAGCTTTGTTCCCATCAAGAAGGCTTCTAGCTGCTGTGGAGGAATTTCCCTTGTTTGTATGGGAGGGGATTCCAGCACTTCCCTCAAGGAGTGGGAAGCCACGCTCCCTGCTGCAGCAAGGAGTTCTTTAGAAGGGTCTCTCGGGGTGCAAGCAGAGAGAAAACCATACCTTGAGCCAGTTCTTGGCCATCCTCCAGGCACAGGTGTCAGTAACATTGTGACCCGAAGCTGTCATTTACAAATCTGCTGAACTACATTGAACACACCTGTTGGTGGTTTGAAGAATCCATGCATACACGGGTAGTGGCGGAACACACCTTTAATCCCAGCAGTTGGGAGGCAGAGGCAGAGAGATCTCCGAGTTTGAGGTCAGCCAGTCTACAGAGCAAGTCCCAGGATAGCCAGGCTAAGCAGAGAAATTCTATCCCTAAAAAAAACAAAACGAAGAACAAAACTTGTATAATATCATACATATAACTTCATACCTGGAGCTTCAAAGAAGAAGCAGCAGAATGTAGTAGGCAGGAGGAGGGTAGCTGATGGAGTCTATACCCAGACCTGACCTGATCCCAGCCCTTTCTGTACTTTGGTTTCTGTGGCTGGGTAATAAAACCTCAATGAGATGGTGTTCACTAATATACCCTACAGAGAGAACTGTCATGTGCTAAGGGCCCCAATATCCATGCTTGTTCTTGGTCACAATGAGACTGTGTGTAAATGAAGCTGAGGACATGGGCAGAACCCCAAAGCAAATCCACATGCTTGTAGATCAGAGACCTTTCCCTTACCTCTGAACTAGCTTCCGCTTGAGCATTGGGAGTGTTCTTGCTTTTGGCCATATCCTGTGTTCCCCAGTGAGGAGACCAGCACCTGCCAGTGATACTAGGCCTTTATCCCAGTTTGTTTTCTCATGAACTTTGGTTGTCCAGGAATTATTAGGACCAGGGCACACACGATGGTAGACAGATGCATTGCTCATGCAGTTTGGGGTTCTTTTTGGCCACAGGATCTGTTCATTTAGCTAACATCTACAGAGTATATACTGTATTCCTGTCATGACCTAAGTGGATTTATGATGGGAAGGAGACAGACGGTACCCCTGTCCTTGGGGAATCCACTTTCAGAGAGGGGGAGGGAGAGACAGAGAGAGAGAGACAGACAGACAGAGAGAGACAAAGAGAGAAACAGAGACACACACACACACACAAAGAGAGAGAGAGAGAGAGAGAGAGAGAGAGAGAGAGAGAGAGAGAGAGAGAGAAACAGAGCGAGCAGATAAGGAAGGCACACAAGAAAACACCAATCTGTGATTCATGGCTGTGCAGAAGGTAAGGTTGAATGAGAAGGGCAGTGATCTAGAGCTTGGGAAGGGTGGGCAAGGCAGAGGCTGACTCATAAGAAACTGGCTATTGTTTATGTGGGAGAGATTTCCAGCCTGAGGGCGGCTAGTGTCAAGGCTCTAGAGTGGGAATGAGCTGGGAATAGTAGCAGAAGGCCAGGAAAGCTGCAGTGAGGAAGGAGGGAGATGGAGGGACCTGGAAAATGGACCTGTGGGAGGGTACTTCAAGCACTCTGAAGCCATAGAAACCTAAAGTTGTGCATTCTCAGGCACTCAGGCATAAGACAGTGTTCTAGAAACAATGTATAGTCCTCCGTGTTTATTGCTCCCAACTTTTGCTTTTCTGGAAATTCCTGGAATGGTAGCCTCCCCCAGCTTCCCACCCTGGCGGCTTTGTTTCTCACAATTCTCCTAGCAGAATAGGAGGACTAAAGCCTTGTCAGGGGCTGGGGGTGTAGTTCAGCTGTGGGATGCTCGGAGTCCGTCTCCAGTACAGCGTAAAACTGGGTGTGGTGACTGATACCTGTGATCCCAGTACTGGGGAGGTAGAGGCAGGAAGATCAGCAGTTCAAGACCGCCCTCAGCTACACAGCCAGTTCAAGGCCAGCCTGGGCCACAGGAGACCTCATTTAAATAAAACAGAGGACTTGTTGACTACTATTGCTACTCTTTTCCTTCTTATTCAACAGAGAAGGAACTGGGGGCTTCTTCGGGGATTTCAGCGGCCCATCAAAACCAACCTTAGTGCCTTCTGAAAACTGAGGCTCTAAGGGTCCTAGGGAAAGACTCTGACAGCTTCTGTTTGTGTCTGGAGTCCCCACATCAGCCATGGTCACTATTCCTACCATTCACCCACTCTTCTAAAAAGCCCTGCTTAATGAATGGCCAAGGACAGTTGGCCAAGAAACATCAGTGCTAGGTGTTAGTGCCACTGTGTGGCCAGGACTCTTTATGCTGTTCTACCTAAGGCTTTTGGCACAGCCCAACTTGGTGCAGGCTCAACAGGCTCACCCATGGGGGTGGCAGCCCGGCAAGAGGAGCCTTACCTTATTCTTGTCGTGGTTTCTGTCTCAATACTTTGATGCTGGCTATGGATTCGACATGAAGTGTTCCCCACAAAAGCTAAAGTGCTGAAGCCTTAGTGTCCAGATGTGCTGCTCAGAAGTAACTAGTTCATGATGGCCTTACCTTCATTAATAGATCAACGCACCGATGGGTTCACAGTTGAATAGGCTATCAGAAAGTGTGGGGGGAGCTAGTTAGGAAAAGGAAGTAGGTCTCTGTGATGGGGTGACTTAGGGTACATCTTATCCCTGTTCCTTACCCCTGGATATTATAAGGGAAGCAGTGTTCTTCCATCATGTTTCTGTCATATCGTGGTCTTTTGTTTTTGTTTCTATATATTTTTATTGAGCTCTACATTTTTCTCTGCTCCCCTCCCTGCCTCTTCTCTCCCCTTCAACCCTCTCCCAAGGTCCCCATGCTCCCAATTTACTCAGGAGATCTTGTCTTTTTCTACTTCCCATGTAGATTAGATTCATGTATGTCTTTCTTAGAGTCCTCACTGTTGTCTAGGTTTTCTGGGATGGTGATTTGTAGGCTGGTTTTCTTTGCTTTATGTTTAGAAACCACTTATGAGTAAGCACATATGATGTTTGTCTTTCTGGGTCTGGGTTACCTCACTCAAAACTGTCATGGTCTTAAAAGCAATAGAAGCAGCTTCCTGTCGTGTGTGAGTACTCATAACATTGCACAGGAGATGGGCAAGCAGAAGCAAAACCACAGCCATCAATAAAAGAGATTGCAGCACCTTATGATGGGTGCAGTCAACCTCCGTGCCAACTTGTAAAGACTGTCCCCCACATTGTAGGGGACAAGCACACCCACAATGATGCCCCTTCCTTAAGAAAAAAAAAACAAGCTCACACATAGAGAACCCACTTCTATGTACACAAGTCTGTCAGCGAGGCCTCTTCTAAGGGAGTAAATCTCAACCACCATTGCTAGGTATCTCTGGATGCGAAGAACAGAAGGACTGGGGCATGCTATATCAGAACCTTTGATGGGACCTAGATAAGGAAGTTTGTGTAGGTGTGTGGGTTCTGTGGCTCAACAGCAGGACTTTGGGCATGCTAGATATGTGATCTATCACTGAGGTTCTTGCTGGATCCAGTTAGCATATTCCCCTAGGGGAATCTTTGGTATTTTAAAGTTTGAGACTTTAAATTTGATACGATGCAGTTGTAAGCCCTTGTCTTTTGTTACTGTTCTGTAATGTTTGTGGCTTAAAAACCGAGCAAACCCATCCACACATTGCTTTTGTCAGAGAAAACCAGTAAGGACTCAAAAGTATGGGGGAAAGCCGCCTCTTCCAAGCAGTTGTCCCGAGAGTCGGTTTGGAATCTTGTATGGGTCATGTTTGTTTGACTTGAGTATGGGAGAGCAGGGGCCCTTAAGCAAATGAATCTAGCAGGGAGATTGTTCCAGAAATCTTCAGGGTTCAAGGTGGAGCCACTGCTTTTCTGTCCCCTGCTTTTTCTCCCTTCTGAAACAAAGAGCTTTAGAAGTCCGTGGGCAGCCCCACCGTGGGAAGACTGAAGGATACTGCCACGCTTTGCTGCTTCATTCACTCTGTCTCCTCAAAGTATGAGAGGGAAGGGTCCTGAGCCCAGGGAAGGCAGCTAGCTGGGGCATTTCTTGCTGTAGCGCAGGAAAAACCTCCCCAAACGCTTTCCTTTTATTTCAGCTTAGTTTTCTTCAGCTCAGTAGCACCAAAGGCAATTCAGATAGGCCCACAAACATCAGAGAAGTTTCCATAGCAACTTAAACATTCTTCCTTGACCCTGTGTTTTAGAGCCTCCACTTCCAAAGAAGCCCACAAAGTAGTCCTAGGATCAAACTGGCCACCTCTCTGGCCACTCCAAACATATTCTAATGAAAGGATCCCAGGGGCAAGGGAAGAAGCTTGCGGGTGATTGTGAATTGGGGAAGAGTTGCCTTTCCAAGTTTGAACTGGAAGACATTTACCCCGGGGAAGGGATTTCAAGCGTGAAGACGGGAAGTGGGGCAGGGCCGCAAGAACCAAGAGTTCTTTTTCCGAAAGCTGGCTCTGAACCCTCTGCCGTTGGCATAGTGAATTTGGACTCTAAGAGCGATCTTACCCTATTTTATTTGCCTTGCAGGGAGACAAATCAGGATATATTCTCACGTTTCTCCTCACCCCATGTATATGTCTGTGTGATGGGCAGATCATAGTAAACCATAAAATTTCAGAAATTCATGGTTGCATGCCTGGGGGCTGGCGGTGGGGGAGAGCAGCGCTCCTGGAAGAATTTAATTCAGATAAGCAATGGATTTTACAAGCACATCCGTTTTATCTTTGGAGCTACTTGGAACAAACTATTCTTCGTTGTTTACGTGAGGTTCAAATTGTACCAAGATTCAATTCTT